CCTCACCATCTCGAGAGATGGCCCAAGCTACTGACTCCATCGTCGTCCCGTAAACACATTCAGACCCATCGAGCCTCTGTTCGATGAATGTGTTTGAAACCTTTAGAGGAGCTAGAGGAGTGGTCTAGATCAGACCCACTAGCTTCTTAGACGGCATTAGTCAAAGCACCTAAGGGTGAGATTTTCGTCAACGAAGTGCTCGTTGGTGGCCGCAAGGCCAGGGCCTATTATGACACTTGCTCGACACGGAACTTCATTAGTCGCTCGTGCGTTGAGAGGCTGCGCTTACAGGGGCAAGTGCAGCGCCTGAGTCGACCTGTGCCAACAAACAGCGCATGGTAGTCAACGACTACCTCCAAGATGTTGAGTGTTGTTTCCCGTACGCGGGAGGGGAACTGAGACATCATGTCTCGTCCTAGTGAGCAATGAACTCCCCATGGATATATTGTTAGGCATGTACTACCTCTCTGTGGCACAGCCCCAGTTTGACTGGGACCGAAAAGTGGTCAAACACAGGTGGGGAGGCCAGATTACGTAAGTTCAAAGCTACTATTTTGATCGAGTCCCACAGATGCATGTGTGCGGCCACGTTGTATAATTACTATAAGCAAAATCAGGAGGTGGGTATGTACCTAGTTTATGTCTCTGCTGCAGGCGAGCCGATGAAAATGTCGCCGGAGATAGAGGGAGTAGTTGCTAAGTACCCTGATCTATTTGAAGAGCGGACAGGGGTTGTTGAGAGGGAGGTCGTCCTCGCGATAGAGATTATCCCAGGGTCTAGCATCCCGAAGGGTAGGATCTATCGGATGTCTCCAGGCGAGTTTGACGAGCTTCGTCCACAACTCAAGGACCTCGTAGAAAAGGGGTGGATCCGGCCGAGTGTTTCTCCTTATTGTTCACCAGTCTTATTTGTACGAAAGAAAAAGGAAGGAACACTTAGGATGTGCATTGACTATAGGAGCCTCAATGCCATCACTATAAAGAACAGAGAGCCCCTACCGCGCATCGATGATTTGCTAGATAGAGTGCAAGGGTTTCGGTACTTCAGTAAGATAGATCTGAAGTCTGGGTACCATCAGATTGCAATCCAGCCCGAGGATCAACACAAAACCGCATTTCAGACCAGGTACAGTTTGTAGGAGTTTGTGGTGATGCCTTTTGGYCTTTGCAATGCTCCAAGCACCTTTCAGCACACTATGAATCGGATATTTTATGACTACTTGGATAAGTTTGTCATCGTGTACCTCGATGACATACTTATTTTTAGTAAGACTGTCGAGGACCACGTTGCGCACTTGGACAAAGTCCTTAGTCTTCTGTGACAGCACAAGTTCAAGATCAACGGTGCGAAGGGCGAGTTTGGCCGCACCCGTGTCTTGTACTTGGGTCATGAGATTTTCGCGGAGGGATTGAAGCCCGATGACGGGAAGGTGGCCAGCATTCGTGATTGGCCACGTCCTCAATTTGTGATTGAGATGAGATCTTTCTTAGGGATGATAGGCTACTATAGGACTTTCGTGAAGAATTATAGTATAGTGGTTGCCCCTTTGACTGATCTGACCCGCCTTGACACCCCATGGGAGTGGACAAACGAGTGTGAGGCTGCTTTCAGACATCTGAAGCATGCGTTGACGCACTACGAGGTCTTGAAACTTCCTGATCCTGATAAATCGTTTGTAGTAACCACGGATGCCAGTCAATATGGCATTGGTGCCGTACTTGCGCAACAGGAGGGGAAAAAGTTAAGATGTCGAGTACATGTCTAAGAAGATGCCGTCTCAGAAGTTGGCCAAGTCCACCTCTGAGAAGGAACTATATGCGGTTTACAAGGCTCTGACCCATTGGAGGCACTATCTCCTTGGGAGGTTCTTCATCCTCAGGACTGATCATCAGAACTTGAGGTAGATGAGAACTCGGTCGGTGCTCTCTGACGCTCTGAAGCGTTGAATCGAAGTCGTTGAGCCGTATGACTTCGACCCACAGTGTCTGAAAGGGGAGTACTACAAAGTTGTTGATGCCTTATCGGAACCTGATTTCTCAGGTGCGTTGATTACTTAGTTCGACCTTACGGACGATGTTACTCGTTCTTTGGTGGAAGCCTATCGCGAGCACCAGTTCATGTATGAGATGATACGCAAACTTGAGGCGAAGGATAAGAAGACTTCTGTCGAGTTTGAGTTGATCAACGGCTTGTTGTTCCTTGAGAAGGAAGGGAATAAACGTTTGTGTGTCCCAGATAGATAGTCTTTGCGTAGTTTATGACGCCACCTGCCATTTTGGTTTCAAGAAGACTGCAACCAATTTATTGCAGCGGTTCTGGTGGCCCACGATGATGAGAGATGCTAAGTTGTACGTGGAGACTTGCCAGGTCTATCGGAGAGACAAGCCCCGTACACAGGCCCCTCTTGGGCTCCTCAGGCCCTTTCCGATTCCAGAAAGGCCTGGTGAGAGCCTATCCATGGACTTCATCGTTACGCTGGTAACCAGCAAGAGCGGAATGAGACACATCTTTGCTATCGTGGATAGGTTTAGTAAGTACGCTAGGTTAGTTGCAATGCCAGAGACAACGAAGACTGAGCACGTGATTAAGTTGTTCAAAGAGAATTGGGTTACAGATTTTGGATTGCCAAAGTCTGTAGTCAGTGACCATGATGTGCGATTCACAAGTGAATTGTGGAAAGCCGCAGCTGCAGAACAGGGAACGCAGTTGTAGATGACATCAGGGAACCATCCCGAGGCAAATGGACAAGCAGAACAGTTGGACCGCGCTGTACAACACCTGCTGGGATGAGAAACTTGCTCTCATGGTCAGCCTGTCCAACAACTCGGTCCACAGTGCAACGGGCGTGAGCCCGAATGGTATTCTACTAACCTCTAAGCCTAGACTGCCCTTGGATTTCTTACTACCTGAGAACCAGCCCACTATTGCACATGGGACTTTATAGTTTGCTTATCGATATGAGCAGCTAATGCAGCAGGTTGTTGAGCAGATGCACAAAGCACATGCGGCAATGATAGACTGCCCTTGGATTTCTTACTACCTTCGAACCAGCCCACTGCTGCACATGGGACTTTATAGTGTGCTTATCGATATGAGCAGCTGATGCAGCAGGCTGTTGAGCAGATGCACAAAGCACAGGCGGCAATGATAGAGTCTGAAAACAAAAACCGCCGCCCATCCACGTTTTAGGTAGGAGAGAGAGTCTGGGTCAAGTCCTCAGAACTGGGACAGGAGCACGGGATCTCCCACAAGGTCGTGCCACAATACTTTGGACCATGGGAGATTCTAGATGTTGTTGGGAATGAACCAGATGGGCCGTCTTATGTTGTTCGGATCCCTGGTCACTTACGCACTTACCCTGTTTTCCACGCCTCAAAGCTTGCACCTTTTAAAGAAACAGATCAGTTTCCATCTCGTCGCTTAAAATGTGCCCCCAACCATGGATGGAGAGGTCGACATAGATGATATTGTTGACCACCGGGAGATGCCAGTTCCAAGACTAACAAGCAGAGGACGTCCTCCGAAACCGAAGCTGCAGTATCGAGTTCGATTCAAACATCACACTGATCCAAAGGAAGACAGATGGTTTTCAAGGGAGGAACTGATGCAAACCTCTCCACAGGTAGTTGCCCACTATGAGAAGTC